CCCTCCCCCGCCGTCTATCCTCCCGAGTATCGCCTCGGATTCACTTCTCCGCACGTCCTACCTTCCAGAAAGTGGTCGCTTTTCTGTTCGGAGTGTTGTTACTATTCTTATCTTCGATCTCCTGTTGAGTTCGTAGGCGTTCAGAATGGTTTGATCCCTATTCAGCTGAATTCCTGAGACCAGACAAAATCCAGGTCTCCTACTCCTCCGCCATCTTGCTCCGCCCCCTCTCCCCTTTAATATTTCTTATACAAGCTCTTTTTGCTTTGCTTCTCTCATTTCTCAAGGGCATTGCCTTCTTGAATTATCTATTTGTATGATGCCCTGTTGGTATTTATATTCCCAAACAAAGCATTATAACAGATCCAGAATGAGTGAGAAGTGTGCCTTTCGTCATGAAGGAGAATGGTAATTGTGAATGGTAATTGTGAAAGGGAGTTATGAAAAGAAGACAGACACATGGTACACAGACACATTCACAGGCAGATCAAATCAGGAAGGAGTACATATGAAATTTATGAATACTCCTAATTTTCATAAATATATTATGAATACTTCTAAACCTATTCATGCCCATGTACCACTGGAAAAATTTTGTATTCCCCTGCCTTGGTCTAGGCTACAATATATGCATAGAAGTAAAATTTCACATTATAGAATATACACATTTTTGACTAAATGTTGCCAAATGGCTCTCCAAAGTTTACAGTTTAGCTAACAGTTTATGAGAGCTCCAGTTTCTCCATAATCTACCCACCCTTTAATTTTAAATTTTTGCCAGTATTATTATGAAATAGTATTTTTCATAAATTTTCATAAAATTGTTTTTTTATCTTCCTAGTCATTGGTAAGATTGAACATATTTCACGTATTTATTGGCCATCCCACTTTTCTTCTGTGAGGTGCCTCTTCATGTCCTTTATCCTTTATCTTTTTCTATTGGGGTTATTTGTCTTTTTCTTGAGTTCATTATATGAATTTTGTGAGTTCTTCTGGTGTGTGGTTTGTCCATTAACTTTACAGGTTTTTTCGGTCATATACTAATTCTTTCTTTTAATGTTAACAAATGTATTAATGTTTTCCTTTATGGAAATGGTTTCATCTTTTGGTCTCTTATTTTTAAAACAAAACACTTCCAAAAAAAGAATAAAAAATTTTAAATTAAAAAAAACTTCCTTATTACAATATAGGTATTCTATATTTTATTTTTAAAATACTATGGTATTGCTGTTTTTCACATCTAAATCTTAAATCTGGAGTACATGTATTGACTAATCCATCCTCTTTCATTATTTTGAAATGAATCTTCTATGAAATGCCACATTTGGGGGGGTTTCTTCTGGGCTCTCTATTCTGTTCCATTGGTGTGTTTGCCCTGCCCGATTCTGTTTTAATTCCTACTGCTTTAGAACGAGTGCTAAAATCTGATAGGGCAGTCCTGTCACTTTTTTCTTCAGGAGTTTCTCATCTATCCTTAAGTCTTTACTTTTATAAATATAAATTTTATAATCCAGCTTGTTCAATTCTGTGAAAAGCCTTTGTTGGATTTTTATTAGAATTGCATTAAATGTGTAGATTAATTTGGGCATAATACTGAATTTTACCATCCACAAACATTTATTTAGGTGTGTTATTTCCATCTGTCAATAAAATTTTCTTTCTCCATAAAATAGTTTAGCACATCTTTTGTTAGATTTATTCTTAGGTACTCTGTGGTTTTTGTTGCTTTTATGATGGTATATTTTTAAATCATACTTCCCAGTAGGTTGTGACTTGTATGTAATAATGCTTTTTTAAATGTTGACATTTGATCAGTAACCCTCCAAAACTTTCATATAGACAGTCATTTATGATTCAGTATACTTCTGTTTCTTTCTGCTCTTTTCTCATTTTCTCTCCGTTGAATTACTGCACCAGCATTGTCTCTGCTATAGTATTTATACGATAACATGATCTTGTTCTTGAAAAAGGAAACAAGTTCAGTGATTCATGATTAAGTTTTATATATACTTATATAAACTTTATATATACCGTGTATATATTTATTTATACACTGTAGGTTTTGGAAGATAATCTTAGCCATAACCGAGGTTTCTCAGCCTCTGCACTATTGACATTTTGGGCCAGATGATTCTGTGTTGTTGGAGGCTAGTCCTGTATATGGTAGGATGTTTAGCAGTGTCCTAGTCTTCCCACATCTATAAAAAGCAAAAGTATTACCAAATGTTCCCTAGGGGGGCAAAGTCACACCTGACTGAGAATTATTGCCCCAAATCAATTAAGGAAATTATTTCATATTCTGTTTGCTAAGAATGAAAGAGTATTGAATTTATCATGAAAGGGTATTGAATTTTAACAAATCTTTTTCTATATCTGCTGAGATGTTTTTTCCTCCTTTAATCTATTAATAGAAAATAAATAATATAGTAAATTACATTATTCTTTTCTAATGTTAATCTGTGGTATAATTTTATTAACATAGTCTGAAAATTGTGCAAAACTATGATACTTTTCTTCATTTTGCGGAGGGGAGGGAGTGAACATTAAAACAAAATGGTGTAAAGTAGATCCCATGTTACAAATTGAATTTTAATTGCTATCATTAAAGCTTATTTTACCTATCTTATAATACAGTTTGCCTGCTTTATTAATGGTCTGGTTTTAAATAATCTATTTTGGGGTTTACTCCAGTACTTTGAATAATGAAGTGTTACGCGTACTTTCTTCAAACATAGAGAAATCACTTAAAATTTACTTTCATTTAAATATCAAATTAATAAAATAGGATTTGATAAATGCTTCAGTAAGTAATATATTTGATTTAATTAAATGTATAACAAAGGAGTAGGATTTAATTATTTGTAAGCAGTGGGAAATCAGTGGCAAATCAGATATGATCATTCAGTTCTATGTTGTGTAAATATTATCTACTGCTGGTCTCATGATGGAAATAGGCAGTGTCACCTTAAGTCCAGCTGCCATTTTCTTTTAAATATTCTCTTAGAACTATATTTTCATACTCTTTGGACTAAAAGCAACTTTTCTGGTGGTTGTTTTAGCATTACCATGAAAATGAAACCCAAGAAAAGTGGGAATACTGTGGTGATTTTAGTAGACTTAAGTGGAATTAGTAATAATATCAATAAGAGGTAGAAAAATGACATTTCCAATTATAGACCATAAGTTGACTGGGTTTAGGTAACAATTTAGGATAAATTTTATAACAAACTATTTTAAAGAATTTTGCCTAGGCCTAAAATAATTTTTCAATTTTTTTCCCTCTTATAGTCACGTTCTATATCTAGTTCCCCTGTGATGGTAGCTCAGCCAGTTTATCAGCAACCTGCATATCACTACCAGGTAAACATGAAATTACAATGAAAATTCTCTTTAAAAACTGTCAGTCCTTTTTGGGTAAATTTCATTGTATTCTTTCTCATGCAAATACTCTAATAACTTAAAAGAGATAGTTAAGCCTTGATAGCAGTGCTGGTTTTCTTTTTTTTCTTTTCTTATGGGGAACTAGACAATATCATACAAGAAGATGGAATGTTTGCTTCATTTAACCAAATGTAATGAGGTTGGTTTTGCTCCCCTGGCTAACATTTAATCTAAGAAGTTTTTAGAAATAATTCCCAAAGAAACATACAGATAACATACTGGATCACAGGCTGATTTTTTAATGTTATTGTTAACATTATGTCACTTTCTTGCTATTATATTTAACATAATCTATATTAAAATAAGTAATATATTATGGTTTATATTATGGCAGCCTCTTTTAGTTAACCAGTACTCTTCATTAATTCTTGTGGGAGACTGGGGATAAATGAGCCATAATGCCAGACCATTTTGGTGTTTTATAAATAAAGAATATTTGTTGACATACTGTCTATGGCTGCTTTTGTACTACAATGGCAGAGTTCAGTAGTTGCAACAGGATATTATGGTCTGCAAAGCTGAAAATATTTACCCTCTGGTCCTTTATAGAAAAAGTTTGCCAACCTCTCCTCTATTGCACTCACAAATAAAATCACATTCTTTCCTACCTCTGGAATTGTGGAAGAGAATTTATCTCTGTTTCTTTTTTCTTTTGAACTTTTAAAATAGACCCAGATTAAATGTTAAGTTTCCTGGAATTCTTTTTAATATTAGACTGGGTTTTGGGGGGGATGGTGGTGTTTAAATTCTAAGTAGAATTTAAGATTTAAATTTATTTAAATTTATTATATTATTACATATTAATGTATATTATATATTATATTACATTATTTATTTACAAATAAATTTGTAAATCCTATTACGTGCTAAATATAAAACTAAAGTGTTTCACTTACTAAAGATGAAAATAACTTAATGACATATATTTAAAATATATATATTAAAATAATTTAATGACATATTTAAAATATAACTTAATGACATATATTTAAAATATGTCACTTTCCCTAAGCTTCCCCAAATTCCGGCAGAAGCCCCAAAGACAGAATATTAGGTACCAGAACTTTTAATATGATAAGCCAAATATTGTGAAACCTGTTGGGGGACCCTTAGCTTATTGCCCACTTTGAGTACACATGAGGGGAGGATGAGATTGCAAGAGAGTTGTTAGAATGCTATGGCATGTCCCCTTCTTCCCAACCAAGTAAAGAAGACATCAGAGAATGACTGAGAAAACTTAATGTTTGTCCCCTGAAATTTGTGAGATGGTACTTGGACCTGACCTCTCCTAAAAAAGTCCAAAGAGAGAGGTGGAGGGTTGGGGGGGGGGAATAAATTAATTAATTAAAAAGTCCAAAGAAGAAGCTGGATTAGTCTCTGGAGGCTAGAAGACTACAGTAAGAATGTGTTGAACTTCTACTCACAACAAGCAAAGATTTATGCGTCCCAAGAGCAAGATGTGAACCTCACAGAAGAAACCCTTTTCAAAAACTTTAAGGTGATCCCAATAAAGAAAGAACCTGTGTGAAGTAGACGTCTAGAATCAAGGACTAGAATTGCAGTTAGAAGTTCTCAGTGGGGAGAGGCGCCTGGGTGGCTCAGTAGGTTGGGCGTCTGCCTTCAGCTCAGATCATGATCTCAGGTTCCTGGTATTGAGCCCCGCGTCAGGCTCCCAGCTCAGTGGGGTGTCTGCTTCTCCCTCTCCCTCTGATTCTCCCCCTGCTCGTGCTCTCACTTGTTCTCTCTCTCTCTAATTAATAAGTAAAAATCTTAAAAAAAAAAAAAGTTCTCAGCAGGGAGATCACCAAAGAATCCAGTAAACTACCTAACTAGAGAGTCAGCATTTGGAATCTGCCACACTTCAAAAAGTGATCTGTCCTAATATTTATCCTGTGGCAAGGAAGAACAGCTCAACACAGTGCTTTTAAAGTGTCAGGGGGTGAGAAAGAATAGAAGTGCTTTCTGCTTGCACCCCATTGAGTCCAGCTCCTCCTTCATTAATTGATTACATACAGCTGTAGCTCACTTGACATACCAAATACATTCTTAAAATTTCTAATACAGTTTAACTTTATAGTTTGACTCTGATGTTCTGTTTGACACAAATTATAAAATTGGAAGTATGTTACCTAGATATTACTCAGGAAGGACTTTGGTACCAATTTATAATATAATATTTTGTAATATAAAAAAATCATTTCACCTCACATATTTCTTTTCAGGTATATATTCATCATTCTGCCTCTTTGATAAGAATCTTCCATTGTTCTTTCTTTTTACAAATTCTAAGATTGGTAGCTTTATCATTTATTAGTCAAATCAGGTAATGCATGGTCTAATTAGTATTTATCTCCATATTTCTCATTTCATAAGTAGTTATTTCATTTATCTAAAAACTATATAAATCATTTTATTTCAGATTTTTTATTAAAATATTTTAAGAGATTATTTATTATCCTGCCTGTCTGAATGTAGACTACAGAACATAGACTTCACATTATCTTGGTCATTATAATATAGTGATGTCATCCATTAGCAACTTAAATAGCACTAAATTAACAGTGATTCAGTTTAGATGGCAGATCCATGGCATCTTCTTACTCTTTTTTCTGTTTTTTTTTTACTTTATAATGAAAAAAGACTATTAAAAATGGAAAATAAAGAATAAAACATATTAATAATACAACTAGTTTAAGAAATAAATGTCTGACATACTGTCATTTACAATAAGTTTAAAAAATTTGACCCTCTTTTATTTAACAGGTTTTTAATATATAATTCACATAGCATTCAATTCAGCTTTTTAAAATGTGCAATCATGTTTTTTACTAAATTCAGAGTTTTATAGCCATACCACAGTCAATTTTAGAATATTTTAATCAACCGTCCTCCCAAAAAAACCTTACCCACTAGTAGTCACTCCTCTTTCCTCCTACTCCCAGCCCTAGGCAACCAGAAATCTATTTTCTGTCTTTATAGGTTTGCCTATTCTGAACATTTCATATAAATGGAATCTACCATATGTGGTTATGACTAGATTCTTTCACTTAGCATAATGTTTTCACAGTTTATCCATGTGGTGGCATGTATCAGTACTTCATTTCTTTTTATAGCTGAATAATATTCCATTATATGGATATAACACTTTATCTTTTCATCAAATGACAGACATTTGGGATATTCCCATTTTTTGTCTGTTATAAATACTACTGTGATCACTCCTGTACAAGTTTTTTTTTAAATGATTTATCTCCAGATATGACTTCTTTCTTTTTTTTTTTATTATGTTATGTTAATCACCATACATTACATCATGTATGTTTTCCTTTATCTTAGCCTTATTACCTGGGAGTAGGATCACTGAGTCATATGGTATCTCTATGTTTAAAGTTCTGAGGAAGTGTCATCTTGGTTTCCAAAAAGGCTGCACCATTATACACTCACACCAGTTGATGAGGATTCTAATTTCTCCACATCCTTGTCAACACTTATCATCTACCTTTTTAATTATAGCCTGTCTAGTGGAGACAGTGGATATAAAGTGATATCACACTGATTTCCACAAGCTGAGGCCAATGATGTTGAGTATCTTTACATATGCTTATTGGCCACTTTTACATATCTTCTTTGGAGAAATATCTATTCATATTCTTTACCCATTTTTAAATTTGGGTTACTTTTCTTTTTATTATTGAGTTATAACACTTCTTTATATATTCTAGATGCAAGTTCCTTATCAGATATGTAATTTATAAATGTTTTCTCCCATCCTTTGTATTTTCACTTACTTGCTGGTATTCTTTGTAGCACAGAAGTTTTTCATTTTGATGGAGTCCAATTTATCTCTTTTCTTTTGTTGCTTGTGCTTTTCATGTCATAGTTTAATTGCCTAATTCAAACCCACAAAGATTTACACATATTTTCTTCTAAGAATTTTATAGTTTTAGCTCTTACATTTAGGTCTTTGAACCAATTTGAGTTAATTTTTGTATATAGTTTGAGGTTTAGGGATCCAGCTTCATTCTTTTGCATATAGATATTCAGTTTTGACCCTTGTTTATAATCTGGGTGGGTTTTTTGTTTTTGGTTTTCATTTTAGGCCCCTGCACAGTGTCTACCAGGACAGTGGCAGTGGGGTGTTCCTCAGGTAAATATTAACTTTTTTCATTGTGTTTTTGTGAAGACTGAATGAATATTAAAGTCAGGAGAACTAGATTTGAGATATTCCTCTTCTATTTAGTAACTGTGATACCTTTGGCAGTTAATCACTATATTTCTTAGCTTCCTCATTGTAAAATGGAAGTAATGATACCACATCTTTGTAAATTTCTTTACCTGATCTTGGTGAAGATGAGATCATGTAAGTGAAAGCATTTTATTAAAAGTGAGTACTCATATAAACATGAAAAATTACTTTTTACTATTATGGGAAAATGTATAATTTTTCCAGTTGTACTTCAGATTTTGCTTCAGTTTGACTTGTGCTCCTAAGTAAATAAACCATCTCTCAACTTTTGATACAAATAGTATACCACCAAAACTACTATTTAATGACATTTCCCATTTCCATGTGAAGTCACAAAGCTAAGAATAGATGTTTATGCCAACTCAATACTGTAAGTTATATTATTACAACCTTTGATAGTGATCTTAATATAACTATTTTCTGAATTTATGAGTTTCTGAAGCATTAAGAACTTTTAATGTTTACCAGTGATAAAGTTCTTTAGTCACATCTACACAATTGAAAGTTGTAATAAAATACATCTATGCTATCCCTGGAAAAGAATTTCAGCAAAATATGAAACAAATATTTCTGTCATCTGTTGGGTAAGTCATTTGGTTTAATTGAAATAACTAATCATATTTGAATTAGAAATATGGTTTTGTTTTAGTCTCCTGCCTCTTCTGCTCCATTCTTATACCTGCAACCTTCTGAAGTTATTTATCAACCAGTGGAAATTGCACAAGATGGTGGATGTGTTCCTCCTCCGCTATCTCTGATGGAAGCTTCAGTTCCAGAGGTATATATTAGTCTCAAGGTGATTTATCTATAACTGTCTCATCTTAACATTTCTTTTTCTTTTCTAAAAATATTTAAGACTCTCGTGGAAGCTGCACATGTTTTTTCTTTGATTTATTCACACCTTTCCCCTTTTATATGTATCTAAGAATGCTTCATCTTAGACTTTTTTACTAACTGGTTCTGAACCATTTCTAAAACCAACTGTTCACTGTACTAGGCTAATCTCTGACTTGATCTCCTCGAAAGAGTAAGATACCAAGTACTTCTCTTTCTTCTGGCTTGCCTGTCAATCTGTGTTGTTACTAACATTCTGTGAATTAAAAGCATATAAAAATTCAAAAGATCTTAAAAACTTCTTCCTTCAAATATGTAAATCAAAAACATTTCATGGGGCACCTGGGTGGCTCAGTCAGTTAAGCATCCAACTCTTGATTTCAGCTAGGTCATGATCTCAGGGTCATGGGATCAAGCCCCACATCGTCGGGCTCTGCGCACAGTCAGAAGCCTGCTGGAGTTTCTCCCTCTCCCTTTGCCCCTCCCTCCAATAAATAAATAAATCTTAAAAAATATACTTCATAACTACAAATTGTAAATGCTGTCTTCAGTGTCTTTAAATTACATTCCCAAACCATTACCTTACCATCTATGTGCCAAGAACTGTACAGGTATGTTTTAAATCAGTGTTATAAAAGATTAGAAAATTAGCACCCACCTCCCAATTGGGGTGTATTATATTATTTTTTATATTGCTAAGGTTTATAATATTATGTTCTGGAACAATAATTTTCAGTTGGATTTTAATGTTACTATCACTACTTCTACCAGGATTTTTCTGTTTTCATCTCAGCCTGCATTCATTACTTGCTTGACTGAATCTGCAAATGCTGTATTCTGAGTTTCTTACATGCCTATTTGTTCAACATTGTTGTCTATAAATCTGAAAGACGGTTACACTAGCTATAAAATAGCTGCACCATACTGCCAGAACAAAGTACCACAAACTGGGTGGCTTAAACAACAGACATTTATTGTCTCACAGTTCTAGGCCCAGAAGTTGAAGATGAAGGTGTTGGCAGGATTGGTTCCATTGAGGGCCATGAGGGAAGCATCTTTTCAGGCCTCTCTTCTTAGCTTGTAGATGGCCACCTTCTCCTTGTGTCTTCACATTATTTTTCTATCTCTGTGTCCAAATTTCTCAATTTTGTAAGGATAGCAGTCATACTGGATTAGGTTCTATGCTAATGACATTTAACTTGATTACCTCTGTAAATACCCTGTCTACAAATCAGGTCACACTCTGATGTACTAGAAGTTAGAACTTCAACGTATGTTTTGAGGGAACCAAATTCAACTTTTTTTTTTTTTTTTAAGATTTTATCTTTATTTGAGACAGAGAGAGAGAGCACAAGCAGAGGGAGAAGCAGGCTCCTCGCTGAGCAAGGAACCTGGGATCATGACCTGAGCTGAAGGCAGATGCTTAACCGACTGAGCCACCCAGGCATCCCCCAAATTCAACTCTTAACAGTACTATTTTCTTATAGAACTTCTAGTCTACTCGTTTCTGGTGTTGAGTGTAGCCATAAAGAATTTTGAAGCTGGCCTGATTTTCCCCCTGAACATAATTTGCTTTTTCTTCCTGCATGCCTTATGATGTGAGGTGTGTTGTTGTTGTTGTTATTGTTGTTGTTAAGATTTTATTTATTTGAGAGAGAGAGAGAGAGCAGGGGGAGGAGCAGAGGAGAGGAGCCAGCAAATTCCGTGCTGAGCTCAAAGCCTGACACGGGGCTGAATCTCATGATCTTGAGATCATGACCTGAGCCAAAATCAAGAGTTGGGCACTTAAACCACTGAGCCTCCCAGGTGCCCCATGAGGTGTGTTCTTAGTTGTCTTTGCACGTACTATTCCCACCTTTTTTCTCTTAATTCTTCAAGCATCAACTCCACTAGAAAACTTTTTCTACCTCCCCAATTTTCTTAAGCTAAATCAAGTAGTTTTCTTTTCTTCTATATATGTTTCATAGGACTTATGGTAATTTTGACTATTCAACTGTCCCTAATCAGTCTATAAATTAATTAAAGATAGGGAATGTGTTTTCCATTTGTGTTCCTCCATTGTGTAGCAAAATGCCCAGTACATTGCAATGAAAGGTAACACATTTTTTTTCTTTTTTTTATAACAGCCTTATTCTGATCATGGAGTTCAAGCAACATATCACCAGGTTTATGCTCCAAGTGCCATCGCTATGCCTGCACCTGTGATGCAGCCTGAACCAATTAAAGTAAGAAGTGTGTTTTGATTTTTTATTATTTTTTCAGTCATGTTTCAAGTTTTTCAAATTTCTTTTCTGAAAAGAAGTAATTTTGGATACTTATATTACATTTGTAATCAGAAGAACAGAATTAGTGAACTCTTTCATGTGAAGAACGTACAATCCTAAATTAACTATAATTTTTACAGTTAGTTTTGAATAAGTTATAAACCACACATGGTCAAAAATGCTTTATTTACTGTAATAAAATATATATAACTTACAATTTGCCACTTTTAAGTGTATAGCTAAGTGGTATTAATTACATCCATAGTGCTATGCAACCATTACCACTATCTGTTTCCACGCTTTTTCATTACCCCAAATAGAAAATCTGTACCCATTAAGCAATAACTTCCCATTCTTTTCTCCCTACCAGTCCCTGGTACCCTCTAATCAACCTTTTGTCTCATTGAATTTGCCTAGATATTTCATATACTCAGATTTTGGTTGTGTTAATGGCATATAGCATTTATGGGGAGATGAAATCAGTTAACAATCTACTCTTCCAGTTTGGGAATTGTGCTTGAGCATCCTAAATCAGATGCAGGCCAAAGAGTGGGAATCCAGTTAGATCCATGTATATATTCAATATATTTCAACTCTCTACTATGTAGCAGGGAATTCTGCTTATTCCCTTATGACCTAGTTTCTTAGTGAAACTCTTCATCATTACTTGGAGGAAATGGACTATATCTGTAAGAACCACAGATTAACTATTGTGATGGTAATATGAATCTTGTTTACAGTGTACTTTGGTAAGGAAAGTAGGCATACTCTACAATAAAATGATGGAGATTAGCTATTTCACACGTGTATTTATTTATGTGTTGGAACTCAGTACCAAGACAGTCTACTTTAAGGAGCCGCTCCCCTCTCATATCAGCTCATCCTGTCACCACTCACCGCATTCCTTCACTGCTATTACTACTGTACTGCACACATGAAATAAAACCATAATTTGACCTAGTGTCACAGCCTCGAGTGTTCCTAAAATTTATCTATCAAAATCTTCTAAAACAGACTTCCTCTGATGTTAACATTTTCTCCAAATATACTTCTCTAGGAATAGTGAAAAGAGCTTCTCCATATTAAATAAGTACTAGTTTTTTCAGTTACTGATTATATAGATCATATATATAAACACAAATGATTGAAGTTGTACTTGAATAATTCCAAGAGAGGATGGAGTGGTACTTGGGTAGGAGAAATTTTCAAAGGACATTAGGATAAGGAAGGGAAAAATGAAGGGGGGGAAATCAGAGGGAGAGATGAACCATGAGAAACTGGACTCTGAGAAACAATCTGAGGGTTTCAGAGGGGCGGGGTGGGGGGTTAGCCCAGCGATGAGTATTAAGGAGGGCACGTACTACATGGAGCACTGGGTGTTATATGAAAACAATGAATCGTGGATCACTACATCAAAAACTAATGGTGTATTGGGGCGCCTGGGTGGCTCAGTCATTAAGCGTCTGCCTTCAGCTCAGGTCATGGTCCCAGGGTCCCAGGGTCCTGGGATCGAGCCCCACATCGGGCTCCCTGCTCTGCGGGGAGTCTGCTTCTCCCTCTCCCACTCCCCCTGCTTGTGTTCCCTCTCTCACTGTGTATCTCTCTGTCAAATAAATAAATAAAATCTTTTAAAAAAAACAAACAAAAAACTAATGGTGTATTATATGGTGACTAACATAATAAAATAAAATTTAAAAAAATAAAAAAAATTTTTTTAAAAAGAATGTTAATGCCACACATTCTTAATTTAAAGTTTAATTCCTCTAGTTTAAGAGTAAACACTTTTCTATATTTTCTTAAATCTATGAGTAGGAAATGACAAATTATACAGAGAAACTTCTTACTCTTTAGTCGTATAGAAAGTACACATATGTTGAATATAAATCATAACAGAGGCATAAATAGATATCTTTCTTTGTGCATATAAGCTTACAACTGGAACCAGTAACCTGCCTCTTCATTCTAGAGAAATGCTGCTAAAAGGGACTTCACCCCTTCTGTCCTGATACAGATCTTTGCTCTATCATGCCGCAGACCAAAAGGGAACAAAACTACTGACTTTTTTCAATTTGGAATTTAATCTGTCTCATTTAGGGTTAAATAATTCTGGTAATCACATGGGATACATCCTAGGGAATATTTTAGTCCTACCCAAGTTAAAATTTAAAGAATAGGGAAGAATTGAAGAATTCTGAACTATACTTAACTAGCTTACTCCAAAGTATCTGAGCACTTGAACTATTATGCTTTTAAGATCAGTATCAAATCCCTAGGTAAGAAGGGTTTAAGTGGAAAATTATAAAGTGTTTCTGTTTTAGTGTTTTTCCATTTTTGCATTAATATAAATATCTAATAAATTCGTTCCTACGAGAATTAACTGAGATACTGGAAACTGGGGAAATTATAATTTGAAGTTAACCTTTAAGTTAAATGTTCATTTTATGAACTCTTGCCATTTGCAACGATGTGGATCGAACTAGAGGGTATTATGCTAAGCGAAATAAGTCAATCAGAGAAAGACAATTATCACATGATCTCATTCATATGTGGAATTTAAGAAACAAAACAGAGGGGCATGGGGAAGAGAGAAAAATATAAAACAAGATGAAATCAGAGAGACAAACCATAAAAGACTCCTAATCACAGGAAACAAACTGAGGGTTGCTGGAGGGGAGGGCGGTTGGGGGATGGGGGTACTGGGTGATGGACATTAAGGAGGGCATGTGATGCCATGAGCACTGGGTATTATATAAGACTAATCACTGACTTCTGCCTCTGAAACCAATAAAACATTATAGGTTAATTAATTGAATTTAAATAAAAATTAAAATAAAAAATAATTTAAAAAGTTAAATGTTCATTTCATTTAATTCCAGTATATAATAGCTATTCACGAAAATATTTGATATTAAGGATAATATTTACTTGTCAGGCTATAAGGAATTTCTTCTAATTAAAGCACTAATTGGACTTGAATGAAAAACACAGCTATTTACCTATTACATCTTACCTTTTAGATAGACACTGTGATTCAAAGGTAAATTAGAAAAGGATGTGACCCCTTACCACTGTTTCTAGCTCAGAGACCCATAATGTACACTTAAAATAAAAACTGACACTTTACAGAAACATTCCACTACTATCTTCTTCCTAACCATTTCCTCATTTCAGTATCATTAACACTTCTTATAAAGCAAGTTAGAGACTAAAATTCCCAAACATTCAGCAAGTCCTCAGAGTAGAAGAAACAAATGTAAAGCACTGCATTCTAGAGGGCAGAGACAGGAAAAGTCTATGCTTTGCAGCTCTGGGCTTACAGGAAGATTAAACATTTTCATGCACTGTACATAGTCAAACTATAGATAGTCTCAGATTCTGCAGAATAAATTATTTTACTCAATAGAGAACTTGGCAGCAGGAGCAAGAAAGCTCACTGAACTAGGCACTAGAAATTGTGGATGACGATAAAAAGAAGTCTCTGTATATAGCTGTGTAGCTGATTTAGAGAGCAATCAATTCGGAATTAGAGCAAGATTCAGGATTGTTCTCTGCAGGAGAAGTAATTTTTATTTGTGTAGAAAGTTGTATTAAGTATCTTACAGAACTGTGGAAAGAATATGGAGAGACTTAGCCATAGGTTTGAAGAAAACTAAATGAATGGGGAAAATGAAGCAATTAGTAAAAAACAAAAAGGTGTTCAAAAAAGAAAACGTAATTATAATATACCAGATGGCTTGGGCGCCTGGGTGGCTCAGTTGGTTAGGCGACTGCCTTCGGTTCAGGTCTTGATCCTGGAGTCCAGGGATTGAGTCCCATATCGGGCTCCCTGCTCGGCAGGGAGTCTGCTTCTCCCTCTGACCCTCTTCCCTCTCGTGCTCTCTCTCATTCTCTCTCTCTCAAATAAATAAATAAAATCTTTAAAAATATATATATACCAGATGGCTCATTAGTGAACAGTATTTAAGCATAATAATTAAAACAATTAACATAAATTTAAGCAAAACCTAGGATATAAAGAGGATGGGCAAGGAAATAAGAGATATTGAAAGAGTTAAAATCCTTATCTACCATAAAGAAGTCATTAGATAATGAAAACTGTTCAGTTAATAGAGACAGAAATATAGAAATAAATACTAGAAGAAACAACTCAAACAAATGAATGTGACCACCTCTGAAAAAGTGAAGTGAAATAGGTAGGAGTGGAGTGGCAGGGGAGGAGGAGTGTGTTGAAGCTCTTTTTTCCGTACCCTTTAACCACTATTTGCTTTTTAAAACTAGGTATATAATTACTTTAATAATAAAAATTAACTTCAAAAGTGCAAGGAACACCAGATTGTTTCCAGCCAAGATATATCAGGCAAATGTGAACAACATTAGGGAGAAAACCCAGGATGACATTAATAAGAAAGTAAATTTCAAAGTAAAAAGCATTAAACAAGACAGAGAAGTCCAGTTTATTGTGATAAAAAGTCAAATCTAATATGAATAAGTAAGTCTAATAATGTAACATCAAAAATATAAAGTAGGGGAGCCTGGCCGGCTCAGTCAGAGGAGCATGCCACTCTTGATCTTGGGGTCGTGAGTTCAAGCCCTACATGGGGTATAGAGATTACTTAAATAAAACTTTAAAAAATAAAATAGAGGGGGCACCTGGGTGGCTCAGTTGCTTGAGTGTCTGACTCTTGATTTCGGCTTAGGTCACGATCTCAGGGTTGTGAGATTGAGCCCCCATTCAGGCTATACACTCAGCAGGGAGTCTGCTCAAGATTCTTTTCTCCTCTCACTCCGCCCCTTCTCCCAGCTCTCACTCGCTAGCTTGCTCTCTAAAAATAAATAAGTAAATCTCTTTAAAAATTATTTAATTAAATGAAAAAGTCTAATACTGTAACATCAAAAGTATAAAGTAGGGGCACCTGGCCGGCTCATTTGGAAGAGTGTGCAACTCTTGATCTCAGGATCGT